GGTCCCGACCCGAAACGTCAGCTTTCCTGCTCCTCTGATGTGCCTGGCCTGCTGTGCTCCTCCAGCTCCACACTGTGTTATCATTGACTCCAGCATCGGCAGTTCTTACTATCTCTGAACAAAAATATTAACCTTTGTTATACCGTGGAATTGGTTTCAAATGTCCAGGCAGGCAGCTAAATCAAAGTATATTCTGAAAAATTGCTTGCCTATGAAAGAACTGAATTGACAACAAATTAAAACCAAAGGAACTAAGGATACTGGAAATCAGAAACTAGTTTTCATCGTGTACCATTGTATTGTTTACATGGCAGTAGCTGTCAATCAGTCCAAAGCACGTGTGGACCTAAATCAAAAACAGAAATTGCTGGGAAAGCTCAACAGATCTGGCAGCATCTGTGGAGTGAAAGCAGAGTTAACATTGCAGGTCCAGTGACCCTTCTTCAGAACAGATTTCTCTCTACAGATGCTGCCAGACCTGCTGAGCTTTTCCAGTAATTTCTGTTTTTGTAACTGAATTGATCACAATGTGCAGTACCTCCAGAATGTTGCTCAATTCAGCCAACAAACAAAAGTTTTCTTCTGATACGTAGTTTCCTTTCTCGCATTTTATTCTCATACATCCAGTCTCGTTATTTGGGCATTCTTTTGTTGCCATCTTCCCTGACTCAACTAGCCCATAGTAAGTGTCGGAACACAGAATGCGACAATCTGAGAAAAGAAAACAGTTATTATCAGAATGCTAAAAACTTGCAAATGTATGAGGTGTGAATGTGTTTTTATCAAACTACGTTATGGGTCATTTTGCTGATTTATTCTGCTCCTCTTCTATTTGCACATATTATTTATTTAACTTTTTGCAACATCAAAATCAAATAGAAATTGACTATCAGTCCAAGCCAGCTTTTTTTTTAAGGGATCTGGTTCCTGAGAGTTTACAGACTGAGAACAGAATATTGGACTGAATCTTCTGGGCTCTGAGGTGGTGGAACAGGAGGCAAGAATTGAATGTAATTTGGCAGAACAATGGCAGACAAGAAACCAGCCACCTTCCCACCTTTACCCAAATTAAGTTTGAGTGGGAAGGTCCATGCTCCGTTCTGCTCAGTTCTGGTTTTTTTCTTCACAGATGCTGCCAGACCTGCTGAGCTTTTCCAGCAACTTCTGTTTTTATATCTGAGAGAGAAGAGGCAGTGAATCACTTAAATAAAAGCAAGATACTACAGATGCTGGAGATCTGAACGAGAAAAACAGAAAGTGCTGGAGAAACCCAACGTCTGGCAGGTCTGGCAACATCTGTAGAATGAGAAACTGAGTTCCCGTTTTTGAGTCCAATATCTCATAATCTTGAACTGAAGGGGTCTGGAAATAATGGTTTGACAAAGTACAGGAAGGTTGAGATTAACAGATGGTGAGAGTGCTCTGAGCAAAAGACAAAAGGGGTGTTAATGGTAGTAAAGAAGAGATATAGACGCAAAGTGGGTACTAATGATGGGTATCAATATTAGGAAATAGGAATGTGGTTTCTCAGCAAATTATACTATGTCTTGCTTTTTTAAAATGTAGTAAATATAACCTACCATGTACTGTAGTGTTGCTCCAATTATAACATCGCACTGGTGATTTGGGTAAATGCTCATTTCTCTTCAATTTTAAGAGACAGTTCATTCCTACAGGTTGAATTATTTCAATGAATGAAAACAAGTTAAAAATTTCAGATTTTTTTACAAAGAAAACTAATCACTAGTTAGTTTACAAATCCCAACATCACAAATCCCAGTCTTCAGCCAATTCAATTCACTTCACATGATATTGAAAGGAGCTGAAGATGCTGGACAATTGGCTTCATCAGTGCTGAAGACCTAGCCCCTGAAACATGAGCAGTTTCAGTAATGACAACGTGGAAAATTTTTCCAGCTATTTCCTCTCTATAAAAAGCAGAACAAGTCCAACCTGACAAATTACAGCCCCATGAGTGCACTGTCAATCATTTGCAAAACAATATAATATTGATAGCGCTGCCAAGAGACAATTACTCATCAATAATCTGCTTCTTGATGATCAGTTGAGGTTTCATCGGGACTACTCAGCACTTGAACTCATTATAGACTTCATCATATATGGACTAAAATGCTGAATTCCAGTGGTGGAAGTTACTGTCCTTTACATAAAGATGATATTTGGCATCAAGAACCCATAGCAATGAGATCAACAGGAATCAGCAGGACATTTTCGCTGTTTTGAGTCATAGCTAGCACAAAGGAAAGTAGGTGTGTATGTTGGAGACTAATCAATTCAGCCCATCAGTATATTACTGCAGGAGTTCCTCCTGAACTAGACCCACCCATCTTCAGCTGCTTCCTCAATGTCCTCCAACCCCGGGTGGTGCCATTTTAGGAAGAGCTTCAGCTGGAATTCAAAAATCCTTCTACCTTCTGTTAATATCCAACATTAGATTGTATAAATTGCAATAGTTTGTACATTGCCAGTTTGACAAAATATGTCAATTGAAAGGGATAACTGGAAGTACCATTATCAGGAATACACATTGTCAATTTGCAATTAATTCACTTGGAAAACATACGCAAAAATATAAAATGTGTCCTTATATGAGAAGTGTATTAGAAGTTTTGGGAAAAGAAGCTTTGTCCAACCTTTTCCCCCATAAATCATAACCTTTTGTACACCATCCATTTAGATTAGAACTGTGAATGCATAGATTTTATGGTTGGAATCTTCCCAGACCCTGAATGAGATGGGCTATGACGAGAAATTTATAACACTCAGATGAGACGTCCAGTGAGGTCCCTCTTAACATCAAGACCAAAACATTGCATTCTCCTACCAAGTCCTTGGTGTCAAGATGAGATTCGAACCAGTGAGTGACGAAAGGCCTATAACATTATCACTCTCATAATTACTTAATTTTGCCTCATTAATGTGCAGTGCGCCATTCTCTCGCCTGTCAGTTAGGAACTAGATGCTGTGAATTCCTGATATAAAAGGCCAAGCAGGTATCCAGTGACTCCAGGTCGCTGCTTGTTCCTCCAGACCACCATCGTAGAGACTTGGAGCCATCACTGCAGGGCACGCATTATAGGCAACAGCCACATAGACAGTGCCATCTGATGTGTACCGGCCTCTTCGCATGAGCAAGCACATTGAAGTACTGCACTTCAATGCTGCATTTCGGAGCAGACGGATACCCACCATTGGAATGCAGCTACAAGAACACTTTGCACTCAAGAGCAGGCACCCAGCTACGGGTTGGACCAGGCTACATCTCAGGACTCACTCTCTCAGTGCTCACTCTTATCACACCTACCTGAATGCTCACAGCATCCCTGCCATGTCTATTTGTGCTTTCCCCCCTCTTCAGCCATAATTTAAAGGCTCACAGTACTTCTGTCTTGCCTTGCTGCTTAATGCAGACAGTCAGCTCGTCATGCTTGCATGAGTGAAGAGTGGTGAGTATGTCTTTAAATAGCTCTAACAGCATCCGGAGTAGGGTCAGGTTAAGTACTTCTACTCTTCCTATGAATTAAATTGCTGCAGCCCATTAATTGAACAAAATAAGGTAGGAACTTTGGACTGGAATGGGAGTGTTTGGAGTGGAAAAACATCCCTAGAGTAATTAGTATTCTTTAAAGGGAATAACTAAGAAGTTTAATCTAAAGGAAGGTCATGACAGCAGAGCTCACGCCTGTGGTCTGCTTCTTCTGTTCAGTGTGGGATCTTATGGATATGTCCAGTGTCCTTGGCAACTATGTCCAGCAGGAAATGTATCCAGCTGCAGCTACAGGTTAACAGCATTGCAGGGCTGGAGCTGTAGATAGGCTCACTGCGGGGTATCCGCGAAGCTAATATTGTCATGGATAGCACATTCAGGGAGGTCTTCACACTGCAGGTAAAGATTAAACATTAAAAAAAAAGATTAAAAAAAAAAAAACAGGCAGAAAGGGGGATGAATGATCACCAGGAGCCAGGAACGTTACACCACAGGAGTCTCCAGTGGTGAAGGGAGGAAGAAGACTGGCAGGGCAATAGTGATTGGGGAATCAATAATAAATTGAACAGACAGACATATCTGCAGCCACAACATAGATTCCCAGATGGCATTTTACCTTTCTAATGCTAAGGTCAAGGATATCTTGAAGAAGGAATTGGGCATTTGAAATTAGACTGGTCATTGTATATATTGGTATCAATAACACAGATAAAGAAGCTCAATATATAGAGAGTTAGGCCTTAAATTAGAAAGTAGGTTCTTAAAGGTAATAATCTCAGGATTCCTACCAGTGCTACACACTAGCAAGCAACAAAGTAACAGGATATTTCAGAAGAATAGATGAAGCTGAAGAAATAGTTTGCCGGTTGGGATTCTGATTGAGGGGATATTGGGACCAGCTCTGGGTCCGAACAGAATGAGTTGCTTCTGGGCAGGACCAAGACCAATGTCTTTGGGTTTGGTGGTTTGGGTGTAGTGCTCTCAGGGAAGGTTTAAACTGGAATGGCAGGGAGATGGGAACTTGAACAGGGAGACAGAGAAGGTGGAAACAAGGAGAGAAATGAAACTCAAAAAGTAAAAAGCAGAATTGGAAACCAGACAAAAAAGGGCCATAGTGCAAAATGAAGGTAACTAAGAATGTATTGCTACAGTATTTGCAAGATATTGAATATGCTGATGCTAAGAGAATAGGAAATTATTTTAGGTTTTACCACAGTACTTTAATCACTGGACAACATAAATGGATGGATTTTACTTCTTACCACTGTTTGCTGTACTTGTCACAAAGCTTTTTTTATCTGGGCAAACGGCATCCTATAAATAAGACACATGACCAACAACATAAGAATGAATGATTTGATTTTTGAATGCTTGTCATTTTTCTATAGATTTCACATTGCTCAAAACAGAAGGTAAGCCAACAATAATTCTTAATGCTTAATTTGGATAAGCGTCCAACAATATCACATTCACAGAATAGTCAATCAGGAAAGCTTTCCAAATTCATGTAGTCTAATCAAATAAATTAATTCAGGTTGGTCAGTGAACCTACTGATGAACCAGTTAAAGGCTATTTAAAGATTATCTGAAAGAGATCCTCAGGCAGATGAATAGTCATGTACAATGTAGATAGCAATATATATCATGCAGCATATATTATGTTCAAAATGTAATTTACTTGTGTCATGAATCATATTCAATCCCAGAAATTTTCACAGATTATATTGAAATGCATGTACAGCATATTCAGTTAATTATTATACAGTGGAAGCAAGGGATTCCCAGAGGCTGCAGTTTTGCTAATTCTCTCCATTGTTTCCTGTCATCAATAAAAACATCTATACAATCACATTAATCAATCATCCTATTTTTTTAAAAATTCACAGGATAGTGGGTGTTGCTATCTGAGCCATCATTTATTGCCCAGAGGGCAGCTAAGAGTCAAACACATTGCTATGGGTTTGGAGTTGCATGTAGGCCAGAGCAGGCAAGGCTAGCAAATTTTCTTCACTAAACAAATGGGTTTTTACGACAATCAACAGAGATCACATGTCACCATTAGGTCAGTCCTTTATCCCTGACTTTGTTGAATACAATTGTCACCATCTGCCTGGTGGGATTCAAACCCAGACGCCCAGAACAATAGTTTGAAGTTCTGGAAGTTAGAACAGCGATGTTACCACTATCTCCCTGGTATCTTTTATATGGAATTCCTTCATGTATTCAATCATAATGTAATTAGTGCCTTTATATCATCAACCAGATTTCATTCCATTTTACTTTACTGTTTCGTTCAAACTCTACATATTCATCAGCCTGCAATCTCATAGACATTATTGTATTGTATTTGCTTGCTTTGACTACGATATTTCATAATTGGGGGCTTTACTCCTTCGACAATCAGCTGATACTCTCCCCATCCTTGCTTGCAGACCACTAAACCTGAGCAAGTTCACCTTCGTATGTAGGAACATAAGGGAGCATATGGTTTTGTTTGTAATTTCATTCATAACAGTACACTGACTAGACCACATCACGTTTTGATAGCTGCCCTACACATCCTCTATATCATTTAATCAAATGGTATTTTGGAAATATTTCCAACTAAAATATTTTTGGGAACCAGTTTTGATGGCCATCAGCAAATTACAATGTAACTCACATCCTTATTATATTGTAGATAGCTCCTTCCATAGACCTGGATAGCCTACCAGAAATATGCAACATTGCTGGGTGGAAAATCAGCAAGGATCTCGAATGCCACACTTGCATTGGATTGGATGTATTTTAAGTAGAAAGACCATTTACTCACAAATAACTGAGAACTCAAAGGCGGTAGCAGAAGAGAGACAGCCACAATTACAAGAAGCATCACATGCATGGTTTTGAGATTTTCCTGGAAGAAATATTTTATAAACTCAATCATTAACTGAACAACGAAAATGCAAGTTTGTAATTTCCTCATGAGTAGTGAGCTGAAGAGTAATGGGATGAGACGGCAAGTGGATTGTGGCTTGAACTTCAAAGAGGTAAACAGTTTACGGAAGAATCCCATTTCCACCTTAGGGCAGCGGTGCCTTCAAATTAGGTGATCCACATCTCGACCTTCTCAGCTTTGATCAGCACTAGCGGTCACAAATTGATGCACAAGCTATGATTGGCAGGTCCTAGTATTTTAGGCCCATGATATGGAGTCATAGAGCATGGAAGCAGACCCTTCAGTCTAACTCATCTGTGCCTACCAGAACTTGTCCCATTTTCCAGCATTTGGCCCATATCCCTCTAAACCCTTTCTATTCATATACATATCCAGATGACTTTAAATGTTGTAATTGTAGCAGCCTCCATCACTTCCTGTGGCAGCTCATTCCACACACCCACCATCCTCTGTGTGAAAAAATTACCTCTCAGGTCCTTTTTAAATCTTTCCCTTCTCACCTCAAACTTATGCTGTCCAGTTTTGGACTCCCCTATCCTAGAAAAAATACCTTGTCTATTCACCCTATCCATACCCCTCAAGATTTTATAAACCTCTATAAGGTCACCCTTCAGCTCCGAAGCTCCAGGGAAAATAGCCCCAGACTATTCAGTGCCTCCCTATGGCTCAAACACGCCAGACCCGGCAACATCCTTGTAAATCTTTTCTGCACCATCTCAAGTTTAACAAAATATTTCCTACATGACGGCAATCAGAATTGTCCACAGTATTCTAAAAATGGCCTCACCAATGTCCAGTACAGCCGCACATGATATCCAAACTCCTACACTCAAAGCTATGATCAATGAAGGCAAGTGTGCCAAATGCCTTCCTCACCATCCTATCTACCTGTGACTCAACTTTCAACAAACTACGCACCTGCATCCCTAGATCTCTTTTTTTGGCAACATTCCCCAGGGCCTACCATTAACTGTTTACGTCCTGCCCTGTTTTTGCCTTTCCAACTACAATACCTCACATTTATCTAAATTAAACTCTATCTGCCACCACTTGGCTCATTGGCACATCTGATAAAGGTCCCGTTATACTCTGAGATAATCTCCATCACTGTCCACTGTACCACCAATTTTGGTGTCATCTGCACACTTATTAAACATATCTCCTGTGCTCACATGCAACTCATTTATCTCAATGACGAAAAGCAGTGGACACAGCACTGATCCTTGTGGCACATCACTGATCACAGGACTCCAGGCTGAAAAACAACTCTCCCCCACTACCTTCTGTCCCCTTCCTTCAAACCAATTTTGTATCCAGTTGGCTAGCTCCCCTCCGGATCTCATCTGATCTGACCTTACTAACCAGCCCACCATGCAGATCCTTTTCTAACACCTTGCTGAAGTCTATATAGACAACATCTACTGCTCTGCCATCATCAATCTTCTTTGTCATCTCCTCAAAAAACTCAATCAAGTTAGCGAGACACAATGTTCCATGCACAAAACCATGTTGACTATCCCTAATTAGTCCTTGTCTTTCTAAATGCATGTAAATCCTGTCCTCAGGATTCCGTCCAACAACCTACTCACCACTGATGTAAGGCTCACCAGTCTATAGTTCCCTAACTTTTCCTTACAGCCTTTCTTAAATAATGGCACCACGTTAGCCAACCTCCAATCTTCTTGGCACATTACCTGTAGCTATTGATGATGCAAATGTCTCACCAACAATCCCGCCCTAGCTTCCCACAAAGTTCATGTTCCCTTTTTGCCCAAACATAGACCAGGTGGTGCTAGAAACAGAGAAGTACATGCAAATATTGTCCTGACACTGAGTAGTCAGTAAACAGCATGGCCAAGCTAATGCATGTTCCAAATAATTTTGTTGAACAGATGACATTCTCTATTTACCTTTGGAAAAAGAAGCAATTAATTCCAGGAAGTTACAGTGTATTTAGAAAGAGTTCCTTTAAAGAAAGAATATATGCAGGCCTGAATGTATAGGCCAACATTTGTTCCTTGAACTGCTACCCTGAGGTGGTAGTGGCTTGCAAAGTCATTTCAGAGGTCACTTTCAGCAGACTGCATTATAGTGCGATTGGAATCATACATCGGTCAGACCCTGTATGGACATTATTCCCAGGGTTGTTAGAAAAGTTTATAAAAAAATCAATGTCCCCAATATACCTGCCTAATGGACTCAGATTAACAGAAAACACTGAGTAGGTTTCTGATTTAACAAGAACTACCTCTTAGAAGCAATCAATTCTAACTACACACAAATAAAAATCTGAGATTTCAATATATAACTCTTTCTTGAACCTCTATACACACATGTAGATAGACACTGTCAGAAAAGAACGCAGATGTCATGGGTGGAGAGAAATGCAATTCAATAGCACCAGTTCACAGGATTCGAGGAGACATTGCTTTTACTTCTCCTGTCCTACTGAACTCTGATTTCTTTATTTCTACATCCTGTCAGTTCTTTGGTGAGGATTCAGGGCAATTTGCACACTCTGTCAGTCACTGCCTAAAGGCAACGCCTTACGGCAACTAAGGAGATAGGATAGGTAGCTATCTTCCAGGTCTTGGTTTATTTCACTACGAGAGAGAAAGAGAGACATTGAATGGAATCTTATAGGGTCTGAACAATATGGACCTTGTGGCAGAACTATATGCAAGAGGTCAAGCAAAGCCTATCTCTATAATGGAAGCAACTCACTGAGTCTTTTATGCATTTGTTCAGTGGCAAGGCAAGTTTCTTACTGAGCTACAGTGAGCTGCCAATTAAAGGGGATTAGAGCTTGTTAAATGCCTTATCAACACTAATTAACCACCTCCTTAGTATTCAGCATCTGAATTTACCAAACACGCCAAACAAGATAGACATCAAAAATTCTCAACATGGAAGTTAGAGCAGGTACCTGGTGACTACAGCTCATTACCTGCAAACAACCACCATCTTGTTCAGCACCATATAGCATTTCCAGAGGACTCTGCAGTGGATCAGAGAGGTGCCATGCGTAATGTGACGCGTTGATAAATGTCAGATGTCAATGCCTGGGGTGAAGGGTGAGTGCAGCTGGTGCCGATGCAAGGCAGGTTTTCAGAGAGCACCGAGGTATGCTCAGAGTGAGTGAGCACTACGACAGCAAGAGACAAGTCCAGAGATGCAGCACAGTGTCGTTGCTGTAATAGCATTGCAATGACAATGGCTGAGTTCCAGCATTCAAGTACAGATGCATCCTGAATGTGGATTGGAGGTGTGCCAGGAGGGTTGTTAGAAGGTGGCACATACTGAGTGCAATGTCCATGAAAATGGGGTATGTGCCCTGAAATGTTGGTGTATGGTGTCTTACATGAAGTTATTCAGAAAAAGCAATGAACTGAATTTGCTGGCTACCTACATTGATTTCCATGTGGAGAATTCTCAATGTCTACCTTGCTCGGCGCATTTGTAAGATATAACTTAATGAGGTTAGTTGTCCCATCAACAAGTTATTTAACATGTAACAATCTCCCTTAACTGGCAACTTGTCACTGCGTGGTGAGAAACTCACCATACTGCCTGTGAAAAGTATAGTTGGAATGAGTTGCCACCTGACATTAAGGTGGGTCTCACTGGAATTTTGTCTGATTCTGTCACAAATCTTGCCATAACCCACATCACTCAGACCTTTATAAGATTCTGTCCAATGTTTCTCTCACTCGCTGTCTCTGGCTGAAAACAAGACATGTCCAAAGCACTGTTGAAGGAAACTACACAAACTGCAAAACCAAGAATTCCCAAACAAGTACTCAACTCCCAAAGTCTATGCAACTGAAATTATCCGCTTTATTAGCCATACTGTTTCACAACTTATTTGTCATGGACAAGCCAAAGTCTGATTCCTGTATTCTCTTTCTACTATTCCTTTTTAGGTTCATTTCTCATTTCTAATGAGTAAGTGGCACTTTACTACATATTCTTGCATTTTAGTAGCTAATAAACTCAATCTTTCTTTATTCAATAAAGCCTGGTTGCATTGGCACCTTTTAAAACAAAGTTATACCTATTTTCCTAATGAACCAATTCAAAAATGTTATTTCCACCTCGGCAGCAAATGGAAGTTAAACCTGGGCCTCCTTGGTCATCGGGTAGGGATACTGTCACTGCACCACAAGCCTAGTCTGGTGAAATGTATCCACAGGGGAAAAGATTGTTTTTTATTAATTGGTCTTGTTGCGACCAGACAGGAGAGAAGTTAAGTGAGAAAGAGAGCAGTACATCCCTGCTCACCCAAGACCGTAACTATTTGGGGCCAACCCATCTAGAAGTGTAATGAATTAAGTATCTTCATCCTGAGCCAAATGTAACATCAGTTGCTTTGAATGCATCAAGATCCATCAAAATTAAACGAAACAAATAACCATGGAATCATACAGTCATAGAGTCACACAGCAAGGAAAAAGACCTTTCAGTCCAACTCATCCATGCTGGCCAAGTTTCTCAAACTAAAAAGTTCCATTTGCCTGCGCTTTCTATTTCTATTTTGTATCTGTCCAAATGTCAGTTGATCTGTTTTATCTTAAGCAATAAGTGTTAGCTAGAACTGTTGTATGAAGAGACAAAGTTGACCTAATAAAGCTCCCTGTGACTGAATAAATCCTGTTTAAGAACTGATTTTTTTTTTACAAATATTGACTATACATCAGAAATGAATGGTCGAATAATTTAATTGATCATCAAGAACAAATCAATTAGTCATAGAGTCATAGAGACGTACAGCATGGAAACAGACCCTTCGGTCCAACTTGTCCACACCGACTGGATATCCTAAATAGAATCTAGAGGAACACAGCAGGCCAGGCAGCATCAGAGGAGCAGGAAAGCTAACGTTTCGGGTAGGGACCCTTCTTTCTGCTGTGTTCCTCCAGCTCCACACTGTGTTTTCTCAGACTCCAGCATCGGCAGTTCTTACTATCTCTAAATAGAATCTAGTCACTTTTGCCAGCATTTGTTCCATATCCCTCCAAACCCTTCCTATTCATGTACCCATCCAGGTGCCTTTTAAATGTTGTAATTGTACCAGCCTCCATGACTTCTTTTAGCAGCTCAGTCCATACACACACCACCCTCTGTGTGAAAAGGTTGCCCTTTAGGTCCCTTTTAAATCTTTCCACTCTCACCTTAAACCTCTACCCTCTAGTTTTGGACACCCCCACCATGAGGAAGAGATTTAAAAAAAGTTGTATATAATTTGCAATACTGGAAATGTTGCTTTGAGAAACCTGTGAGTTTGATTCAAGGGCATTTTTATTTTTAAAGTAATATAGGATTCAGTTCTATTCAATCACATTTTAGTAACACTGATCATTTAGATTAAGAGAATCACTCCATGTTACATTTAGTAACGACTTCAAAAAACTGAACACACAATAAAACAAAGCCAATAGAATAATTTATACTCACAGCTTCGTTAGGTACTTGATTTTTTTGTTAGACCTTCGATGAAACAAGTCAGTAGATTCGTGATTCGCCATCTAATGTGGTTGCCAGGTGTAAGCAATGTTTATAAGTGATGAAATATAGCAACAAACTGATAATCTAATTATATGAGCCAATGCACAATGTACTTAACTATTAGAATAATCGCAAGCAAATCAAATGCTACACCTATGTAAAGCTCCTAAATATATTTGCATTTTTTGAATACACCTTTGCAAATATTTGTTCCACTATTGGAGAGTTTTGACGTAACAACATGGTTTTACATTAATTTGTTAATTAGTGGGGCAGAAATTAGATAAAGGGGCCTTTTTCAAGATGGCAGCAGGTGAATAGTGGAGTTTTGCAGGGATCACAAATATACACGTTATACATTAATAATATGGATGAAGGAACTGAGGGCATTGTTGTTAAGTTTGAAGATGTCACAAAGTGGGTGGAGAGCTTGCAGAAGGACCTGGACAGTTTAGGAGAGTAGGCAAAGAAATGGCAGATGGAATACAAAATGGGAAAATGTGAGATTATGCACTTTGGTAGGAAGAATAGAGACGCAGACTATTTTCTAATGGGGAAAGGCTTCAGAAATCTGAAGCACAAAGGGACGTGGGAGTCCTAGGTCAGGATTCCCTTGAAGTTAATATGCAAGTTCAGTTGGCAGTTGGGAAGGCAAATACAATGTAAGCATTCATTTTGAGAGGGCTGGAATACAAGAGCTGAGATGTACTGCTGAGGCTGTTTACGGCTCTGATCAGACTTCATTTGGCCTATTGCGACCAGTTTTGGATCCTATACCTAAGGAAGAATGAGCTGGCATTGGAGGGGGTCCAGAGGAAGTTTACAAGCATGATCCCAGGGATGAAGTGCTTTTCATATGAGAAGCAGTTGAAGACACTAGGTCTGTAGTTGATGGACTTTAGAAGGATGAGGGGAATCTGATTGAAACTTACAGAATTCTGAGAGGCATAGACAGAGTGGATGTGGAAAAGATGTTTCTACAAGTTGGAGAGACTATGACCCAAGGGCATAGCCTCAGAGTGAAAGGCCGACCCTTTAGAACTGAGATTAGGAGGGATATCTTCAGCCAGAGGGTGGTGAATCTGTGGAACTTTTTGTCAAAGAAGGCTGTGGAGGCCAAGCCATTGACTGTATTTAAGATAGAGATAGATAAGTTCTTGATCAGTAAAGACATCTTGCCCACAATATGACCCTTGCAGCTATAAGAAACATCATAGATCAAACTACCAACATCCTGAAGTAATGGTCCTGCTGCCTGGCCTGGATCCTCCATTATTTATCTGAGTACGTATCCAAATTTGTTGTAGTCTGCTGCAGGCTTTACAATTGCACAATCATGAGGGCACAGCCCTTGTCAAACAGACATTCAGAGGGACTTCAGAAAGCGGCAATGAAAAGACATCTGGTGTTAATTGTTATTTTAATCAATCTGTTTGGATGTGTGATGACACATCCTGCAGAAAATGAGATTTGAACCCAGATGTCCTGGCTCGGAGGTAGAGGTACGTAAACTACACTGTACGGTGCCACAAGAGCTCTTTAGGGTAGCACGGTGGTTCAGTGGTTAGCACTGCTGCCTCACCGCGCCAGGGACCTGGGTTTGATTCCAGCCTTGGGTGACTGTCTGTTTGGAGTTTGCACATTCTCCCTGTGTCTGCGTGGGTTTCCTCCCACAGTCCAAAAATGTGCAGGCTAGGTGGATTGGCCATGCTAAATTGCCCGTAATGTTCAGGGATGTGTAGATTAGGTGGGTTATAGGGGGATGGATCTGAGCGGGATGCTCTGACGGTCACTGTGGACATGTTGGGCCGAAGGGCCTGTACCCACACCGTAGGGATTCTATGAAATGACGACCCTCAACTTGGAACTCAAACCCATGATCCTGAGATTAAGTGTTCCATGCTCTAGCACACACCTAGGTGAGCACCTGATGTTAACTGACCATCAATTGTATTTAAATGTATCCTGATGTTAGGTATTAACTGGGGATTCACATGTGCTCTTATAAATAAGAACAGACCAAAATTGTGGCTGTTGGGGCCAGGAAGTACATGTTTGTAATGTGCATTTCTATGTGGAAATGTTTATAAAAGTATATAAAGGGCCTTCTTGTGGCACAGTGGTAGTGTCTCTGCCCCTGAACTGGGAGGCCTAGGTTCAAATTGCACCTGCTCCAGATGTGTGTAATAACACCTCTGAACAGGTTGATTAGAAAAATAGTTTAAATAAAAAAAAGATTCCACTTCTACCTTTAACAACCTGGTTTACAGGAATATAACATTCAGGACTCTTTGTTCTGCAATGTAGATTAGTAATGGAATTAATAACGATGGTGTTGGGGTTAGGGGAAGTAGCAGGATGTAGATGATAATGCTGTTAAAGCAATGATCAAAGATGGTTTAGTCACTGATTGAGATCCAGGATGTGGAGGGCCAAAAGAAATGAGATAGTCAAAGGGGTGGGAGAATTTTCACAACAGCTAAGATTTGCTAAGGATAAAAGAGCAAAGAAATCTGAGGAGAGGGGACTAGAGGATTTTAAATTCAGGTGAAATCACCATTGAATGAAGAGTAGCTTAGAACAAAAGACAGAGGAAGAAGAGAAGGGAGAATATTTTTGTGAGGAAGGCAACATGGTAATTGGGAGAGTGTCACATTATAAGGAGTTTAATAGAAAGGAGAACTGGATGAGAAAAGCCTTTTGAAGGAGGAATCAACAAAGATGGTATTTAGTGATTGGAGGTAAACAAGAGCAGAGACCTGAGGATTGCTGAAGGAAAGAGAGGCAGGTGCCAAACAGGCACAGAGGAAAATACCAAGAGAGGGGCAGAGAGAGAAGCAACAGGTTTATTTGAAAGGGGCCCACCTCTAAGAAAAATCAGGAAAGCTGTCAGTTCAAAATGAGTGGCAAATGAGGAGTGGTAGCAAATTATATGTAGGCTGGTGGTTTGGAAGATAACAGATATCAGAAATGAAATCTTTTATGTTGTGAAATGCAAATGCAATGTTAATAACAGTGACGCATTTGGAGTCACTTTGCATCAGTTCACAAAAATAATTAATACAAAAAGCAAGTAGTTTATTTTGCATTTGGCAGTGATACAACAGCAACAATTTACATTTATAAAACATTGTTAAAATGATGAAAAGATCTCAGTGTGATTCTCTGCAGCCTTTGCAAAACTATGTTAGGCACTGAGGCAATACTAGGCAGGGTAGTGAAAACTTTTAGGAGTAGCACCTTAAAAGAAGAAAGTTAGAGAGATGGAGAGGTGTGGGAGGAGTGGGTTTCCAGAACTTGGGCCATAGGTAGCTGAAGGCACGGCCTCCAATGGTGGACTAATTAAAATCAGAAATGTTCAAGAGACCAGAATTAGATGAAGCACAGATATCTCAGAGGGTTGTGTGGTTGGAGGAGATTAGAAGTAGAAAGGTGCAAGATCGCAGAGGGAATTAAAAACATGGACGAGAATTTTAAAATTGAGGAATTATTTGAGCAGCTAATATAGGTCAATGAGTATAGAGCTGTTAGTTCCATTATAATGTTCATTAATAATAAAGAAAACAATTTGGCATATCCATAGATTCCAGAACTTTATCAGCAACCTACACATATATTTTACTCTGAGTTTGAACATTAAGAGAAGAGTAATTGGCTCCTGGTTACTCAGGTTTATTTAGATCTGTTATCCTTGCTACCTGCAAATTTCCTGAAGTAAGCCTAGCTGAAACAAAGCTAATAAACCCAGTCTAATCTGAATCTAGGCTAATCTGTTTTGGAGATGCTGAATAATTATTTCATCTGATGGATATAAGGAAAGATCACTTTGTACCAAAAGCACAACATCTAATTATGCCTTTCATTCTCACCATCGCAGTGTCTTTTACTGTGCAGTATAATGCATGGTAAAATCAGGCTTTTAAATTTTTCCAAACGTTGGAGTAAGTAAAACAACAGTTGTGTAAAGTTGAAAAGTTTTCCTTTTGTACATTTACAGGAGATAATATGGTGTTAGTTTCACAGTTGCCCATCTGTACTGAGAACAAAGCTGAGTACTAAGAAGCCTCACACCTCTTATGCTGGCACTATTAATGCGTACTAATCAATCATTGCTGATTAACATTTGGCCAGTCCTCTAGTATTTAGTGCAAGTAAAGATGAAAGCCATCAGTGAGTAACAAGCCTTCTGAAATATTCACTTCACACCATTTCAAACTGAGCTGCCAGACACCTCTAATTAATGGTGGTAGATGTAGAGACAATTATCGCTGTTTCACTCTATTATCCTGGGAATCTGTGGTTTTACTGCCTTGCACCAATTAAACCAGTCCAAACAGATGATACAGCACAGTTCAGGTTTCATCATACGTATTGTGATTTTCAATATTATTCCTTAATTATGCACAGTTTCTGTGATTACCTTGAACTGTTCCAAACAGGCAAATGAAGCATCTTTCAGTGCCAGATGGAAAGGTGGAGTATAAAATTTGAAAATATGAGGTTGGTGGGAAGAAAAGGAAAATAGATTATTATTGAAATGGAAAGAGACTGCTTAGCACAGCAGCACAGAGACATCAGTGTGTCCTCATGCATGAATTGTAAAATGTTAGCATCCAGATGGGCATAATTGACTGTAACTGAAGGTTGGTTAGAAAGCAGTAGTTGAAGAGTATGCTGCCTTCATAACGGAGATGGTTCAGGTACAGTAAAAATATAATTACTTAAAAGAGAAGGGTACAATAACAAATCCAGAGCTTCCTGGATGACAGAAGAGATCCAAGTTAATGTTGAGTAAAAAATGTCCTTAGGACAGCACAGTAGTTCAGTAGTTAGCACTGCTGCTCTAAGCGCCAGGGACTGCGTTCGATTCCACCCTTGAGCAACTGTCTGTTGGGAATATGCATGTTGTCCCCGTGCCTGTGCGAGTTTCCTCCCACATCCAAGGATGTTCAGGTTAGGTGGATTGGCCATGCTAAATTGCCCCACAGTGTCTAGTGATGTGTAAACTCGGCGGATTGGCCATGGGAA